AAGAAAAGCTCTGAACTAGTTTAATGTTCCTTTGTAATCTCAGCAACGGCCATGGCATCCATGGGAGTTCTGAAAGTGATCCTGTGGTCTTGTTGGTACGCTCAAAGGTTGCTGAAAGTGCTGAGAAATTTCCTCTCCTCCAGGCCCAACACTGTTAAACTGCATTAGCTGCATACAAAGTCATCATAGTAAGAAGGGATGATAGGAAGCCATCCAACAGGGAAGTAGGAAGGGAACAGCCCTTTTGCACAGTGGTGGGGAGGGAGTGGTATGCTTCAGGCCTCATGGAGTTGTTATGCACATTGAACCCATGGGTATTCTCCATTAACTTTTCAGTAGTGTCACATTAGATAGTTGCAAGCTCCTTGAAATACAATGCCTGCAAGAGCCTGTCTGGTCAAAAACACTTTGTCAGCCTGTTTGTCTAGCAAGCTGCTTGTAAAGAGGGACAGACAGTATTTTATGAACTTTTCTCTGTGTTGTCTCTGAGGAGAATGTATAAGACTGGAGGGGTTAAGCACTGATATTCCCCTGTGATCAGTGGGTCATTCTCCACAGAGACAAAAAGGGCTGTGTTTTCTTCTGGCTACACATCACTCCACAGAACAGCAGAAATAATTGGTGGAAACATCAGAAAAAAAAAGAACATAAGGAACAAGCAAGAGTGGAAATGGATGCTTTTAGAAGAAATTTGCAAGAAGAGGGAAATGAAAGAAGCAGAGTGATATGAATCGTGCAGCCAGCAGGAGCTTTGGAGATGTTCACCTCAATAGCCATGATGTGACGGGAAGGGGCCTTCTTCAAACACACAAGTGAAGGGAAGGACCTTGTAAGGAAAAGTAGGTAAAATCAGAAGGTACAAGTTCATGGATACCTGTAAAAGCAATGAGGAACATTTTGACCTGAGACTGTCTCAACTGGAAGTCCAGTGGAGTACTGTAGGTTTAGGAACCTCAGTTGCATCTGCTCCCACTTTTGCTAGTTTCCAGCAATGGATGAGCTTGGTTTTGAAGTACTCTTTCTCAAGGACTGTACTCTACCCTAGCAAGAGGAAAACATAAAAATGTTTTAATTGTTGCCTGTCTACCATATGCCAAAAGTGGCATGGATTGCAACCTAACATGGCACCAGAGAACCAGCATTCCTATGGCAGCAGTTTGAGAAGGTCTAAGTCTGAAAGGAACCCACTGCATGGTGGGTCTGCAGTGCCTGTGCCTGGACCTTGGATTCAGCACGTGGGCTTTTGTACAAGGCACTTCTTTAAGGAAAGGCAAAAAGTCATCTTGTCACTTTGGAGCTAGGAGAAATTATAAGAACCTCATATTCCTCAGAAATCCTTCTGGTTGTCCTTCACTCAGACACAATACATAGTACCAGGCACAACCTGCACCTCAGGGTGTTCAGAGGCATGTTCTATTTTGTTGGAGCTTCAGGAGCTGTTCCCTAATTCCCCTCTGATTACACCAACATAAAGTAGAAGTAATGTCTTTGAGTTTAGTGAAGTTACGCCCCACTGAAGCTGGCGAATGAAGAAAACCAAGCTCCCTGTCCAAATATCAGAAGAAAGCTCAGATCTTCCCGTCTTATTTCATTGTGAGCAAGTATGTGCAGGAGAGTGGCTTGAGCTGTGCTAGCTGCCAGGCAGCACAATTAATTACTACATATTGAAACTGGTTCACCCTGCACCCCTCTATATGTTGCTCACTTTTACAGATGTTGACACTTGTCTCTTGATTAATCCAGAATCCCAACGCAGGAAGAAAACTCTAGCTAAGAGTCACAGAGTCTTATAGAGCTGGATGTCCTTAGGGATGATTTTCATATGTCAGATGCACTTCACTTCCCCTGAATTCCCTGGGTCTGGAATGAACTCAGTGTCTCCAACTGGATGACACCATTCAGGAGCGCTCAGCCCAGGAAAGGATGAAAAAGACACCAAAATCTATCTCAGTGCCTACTGAGACTGAACTAAGAGCAGCACCGCTAGTGACTCCCCCCGTCCCATTTCCAAAATTGGAGGAAGGAGAGGTATTTGCTGTTCTGTGCACTAATTTGGGCGTAATTACAGATCATATTTCAGGGCACAAAATAATAGTCCTTGGAAGAAAAGAAGGTTGTTTTTTTTTTTTTTTCTCCTGTGTGTGATACTGCATGGTTGAGTAGATACTGACATATCAGTAATTAGTGAATTCCTTTTGCAATTTTTGATTTGTGCCAGCATGGCAAATTGTATAGAAGGATGTGGCTCTCCTTCCACTTCCATTATTGTCATAAAACCCCTCCAAAACTCTGTTAAAGTCAGTGGAGTGACATTGGCATAAAATCAGTGACAGGGGGCTGCAGCCTCTGATGTTTAATGTTCTGCAGTGTGCAATTCCAGTCAATTCCCAGGGATTCCCAAGACTCCAGCCACATGTCCGGCTTGAAAGGCTGTCCAAGAAATGCTGGAATGACAGAATCTAGCCAAGTGCCATCTGTTGGCCATTTACCATACTGCTTCAGAGGACGAACAGTTTCTGAGTGCCTGAACCAAGCACAGGTGATGTTGCCTGAAAATCTCTTTAGATGCAAACTTGCAAGTTAGTACCTCAGTCGGGGAGGAGGACTCCATAACAGAAGCTTTTCCCTAGGTCAGATCTCTTCAGACGCCCAGTGTAGTTTACCTATACTTTCTTGGGACCTCAGAGGAGATGCAAGACTTTAGATTAATGGTTCAGCACATGAGTAGAAGTACAAAAAGCTCTTACTGTGATTTGTGAAGCACTCTCTTGCTTTTTGTTGAAGGATAAAGTGATTAACCATCACTAGGAAAACAAAAGTCCCAAGCATAGTGACCCTTACTCAGGCTTACTCACTCCAACCCTTTGATGTGGAATAATTTGAGCTAGAGGAAGCAATTAAGTATCACTTTGCTCCTGCATTACTGGGCTTCTGAAGTAGGGAGCAAATGACTCAGCCGCTCTGTACTCTCAGACTAATTTTCTGTCTTCTGGTCACAAAACCCCAGCAGGTTATCTCCTATTATCTTGAATCAGCTTGTGTCTAGGGTATCAGTTTTGGGTGTAGTACTGGTCTCCAGGTAATAATCCTCTGGTGATAGGTTTGTGCTACTCCTTTAGAGGGATAGACCTGTTTTTGTTTCAGCTCAACTTGGAAGTCAGTGAGAGACATAACGGAATCCATATTCAAAATGGGTTGGGAGAAATACATACTGAACTGTAGTGAATACCTTCTGTCCTACAGAATTTCTACATTGTACAGGCACATTGTCTAAATTGTTGGCAAAGTTTACTGAAAATGTCCTTCAAGCAAGTCCACTATCCAATGACATATTCACCTAGGGTTGTCACAGAAGATGAAGGCTTCCTGATTGCACCATCACTGTAAGTTTCTTATATACCACCAGTCAAACAGTTTATGTCCATGCCACTGCAGCAGTATGAATTTTCCAGAATTTTTTCCATGTGGCAGGAGGTAGGGCTGGTAGTTCTGCAGGTAGCATCTTCAACCCCAGCCTCTTCTTAACAATGTCGCTCTGCACTAGTGTGCAAGCTTCTCCAGGAGGCACTATCTCTCAGAAACAATGTAAATCTGAGACTCAGCCTGCAAGACCTCAGGGTTATTAAAGAGTTTCTGGCACTTGCTTGGTATGGAAGGAATTTTAGCTGGGGTGATTTCATCACATTTTTAACACAAATGGTTACTTTTTGTCTCCTTAAGTTTCCCTTTCAGACAGACATATCTCTTTCTTTCTTAAAGTGAAGAGAATACATATAAATAGTCATTTTATTCCTTCACTGGGATGCTTGTATTTAGGTGATCAATGAGGACACTCTAAAGCATTGTTTCTGTACCATCTCTGAAATCTACAAAGCTCTTCTTGAGCCATTTAACTGAATGCTTCAGAACACTTTATTCTTTTGTCGATCATCTATATAATACTAGTGCCAATTTGTTAAAAATCAGGCTCTAAATACAAACGATTTTCTTTGCAGAATGTATTGTGAATTATTTTGATGTAATGTGGGTGTGCACCCTGTTGCGAAATAATGCTGCTATTTGCAAAATTCCAGCTTAGCCCGACCGTATGAGAGCTAGCACCATATATATATACACCATACTTATGTAATACATGCATGAGAGATTTTTGCAAAGAAATGGCCATCTGATTCAGCACATCAACTTGAGCCTTTAAACTAGTTGAATCTCACTTTTTTGTTTGTTTGCTTATTTTTTGAACAAGACTTCTTCTTTTCCCCAATATAGAGGGGTGGTTGTCTCATGCGTTCTTTTCTGCAGTTTACTTCAATTGCTTTCCCTGGTAACCTATTCCATATGTTTATTATCTCCCCCTTTTGTCCTTCAGTAGGCTAGAGCATTTTCCTCACCAAAAGCTGCACGGTTATTTTCCCAGGAAATATCATTGTTCCAAAAAAGATATTATAGGAGCAAATAAAACACATTTCCAAAATGGTGCTGCCAAATAGCAAAATAAAAAAAAAGCTCATTATTTTTGATGACAAGAATATTAAAAGGAAAAAAATGTGTTGTTTAAAAATAACCAACTCTTCAATAGTAGTGTGGGAGGATATTCAATTAAATGGAATGTAGTTTTCTAGTGAGCCCATCTAATCTTGGATTGAAACTATGGATTGAATTAATTTTTTTTTCATTTCTATTTTTTTTTGTCTATATTTTGTACTCCATTCCCAGCATTGTGGTGATGTTTGTTACTATTTATATTTTATGTTGAGGGTCCTTTTTTCAGCTGTTTCTAAAACTTTATAAAATTGCCAGATGTCGTGTTGGAAACCCAAAGCCCCAAATCAGGCCATAAATCACAACAAACCATAAATATATATATGTGTGTGTGTGTATACATATAGAAAAGGCCATTGTCCTCTTCTTTAGCACTTCTCTTGTTGGCTTTTCTCTTCCCTTCCTTTTCCACTCATAGCAGGTATAACTGAAGGGTCTTACCTGGCTTGTTTACTTTGCAGACTCAGAGCAGAGCACTGGGTCAGACACAGAGGTGCTGGCAGAAAGGACGTCCTGCTCATTTGGCTCCCATTCTGACCTTACATCTGGTGGCTCAGGCCCTCAGCCTCCTCCACCTTCATCCATGGAAGAGATCCAGGTAGAGCTGCAGTGTGCTGACCTCTGGAAAAGATTTCATGACATTGGGACAGAGATGATCATCACGAAAGCAGGCAGGTAAGATACCTCTGGCTTCCTGTCTAGTTAAAAACCAGATCATAACAAAACAAATTAAAAAAATCTTTTTGAAGACACCCACCCCACCCCCCACCCCCCCCTTTATTCAACTTGATAAGCAAAAGGAATAAATGTTCAGGGAAAATTAAATGGCTGTCAGATTTTCACAGCTGTATCTCCTACTAGCTTTCTTAAGACAGGTAAAGTTGTTTCATATTACTGCTTAAATCAGTGGCTCCAAAGGAGAACTGGCAGCTGCAGGAAACCGTTGAGGATAGCCTTTCCTTTGAGCAAATAAATCAGGAAATGATCACTGTGCTGTCGGCAGTACTGAATTTAAGATGAGTTATGAATTTGGGGGTGAGCCATTTGAGTTTCCTTTCAAGTTCCCATAGCACTTCACAAGCCAGTTGATTTAATCTCAAATATAGTGAAATTCAAACGCACCTTTCCACCAAATGAATGTCTTCCTGCAATTCTAAATAGATAAAATGTTAATGACTTCCTGTATCAAAAATATGCAGGCTTAATATTTTCCTCCGCTCTTGCAAGGGAGACCACATCAGCTGAGGTTAGGAAGCGCCGCTAATAAGACAGATTTTTTAAAAAAGAAAAGATCACCCCACCATTTCTGTCTCCCATTTAAAAAAGCCTAGAAATCTAGTTGTCAAAGCACAACTTGAAGCTAGCTGTAAATTTCCAGATCTCTCAAACTATAAACGATCCCAGATTTTCAGACCTGTTTGCGTTCACGTAATGTGCCTTACTTCTGCCTACTGATGTTTTCATTGCGATTAACGCTGCGAAGACGAAAGTCAGCACCATGGACAGAGCCGGTCAGCGCGAACAAGCCACGTGACTGTCCCAGGAGCTGTTCCACCCCTTCCGCAGACAAGCAGAAGGGAGGTTTTTTCCCCAAGTTTTGGGAAAAAACATGGTGTTTTATTGTTTATAATTTTGTTTTACTTCTGTGCTCTCAGAATTTGCCAGAACAGCTGGACTTGTTGTTTTGTGTTCTTAAGAAGTGCTCGCTGTTGCTGTGTAGCCCCAGGAAGTTCAGATAATTTGAGGAAAGTAATATCAGACAAACAACCTAGATAATTCTTGAAGATTATCAGAACCAGATTAGCTGCCGGTTTTAGATATACAATCTCATCGGCACATGAAGCATCTTGTATCAGTACAGAGTGGTTTACTGTTTTTGCCCTTCTGCCTGAAATGAAAGAGGCAAAGAAACTGAAATAACACTTGCTGTTGTGCAACGCTTTTTCTCTAGAGATGTCAAAACAGATGCAAATAAAATTATTATTATCTTCTTTTCATAGGGGGTTAAACTGAGACCTAAACAGATTAAGTAATCTGTCCAGCATCATTAAATGTGACACTGGCAGAATCAAGTTTCTTGCTTCTGACTTTGTTGTCCTGGTGCCTGGGTGCTGTCTCAGAAAATTAAAATTATATATTGTTACCTGTTGGATTAACTATAATTAATTTTCTCATGATACATGGAGTAGATAGACTTAACAGCAGCACAGATATCTTGAAGACCACCAACACCAGCGCACACTAAAATGCCCAGAACTTAGTGGTATGAAGATGATCTCAGCAGCTCACACTTTCCTCAATGAAGTATCTGACCTTTCTGGAATCTTAAAAAGCCATACCCTGAATACAATTTTACTTTTAAAAAAGTCAGCAAAAGTTTGCAACATCAATGCCACAGCAATTTTGCAAATTGTTCAACACAACTTCTCACAAAAGCCTTGACAGCATTGGCAAGGGTCCTGGAGCAGGAAGGTTTCATGGAAAAAAACACAGTGAAATGTCCTGGGGAAATATAACATAATGGAATCAAATACTTTGGATCACTTAAAAAAATGAAAGATTTCTATTTGGTCAGACTGATGCACACATACAAAGAAGATTCTGTAGTTCCTTGGAAGTTTTTAGGAATTCCAATATTGAATACATTTCTGTTTAAAAAAATCACAACTTTTTTTAAAATTTGTCATCTGCTATCTTCAAGCTATAAGCTCTTATTTGTTGCTTGGAGCTGTCTGAAGTATGTATTTTTACACTTTTGATACAAAACTATTCTTCTGACATTTATGAATTGAAATGTTCCATGTCAGCAATTGTTCATGGAACTTGCCATTCATGTTGGCTTTCTGTCAAATATGGCTTCCCACGTCGCTTATCATCATAACAAACAGTAGATACGTATCCCTAATTACACAGTAGTAACAGGAAGATGATTAAGAATTATTGTGAGATGTACATATTTCCTTCCATGATGCAGCTGAACTACAATTCCAGTGAAGCACCATGACTGGAAAAATGACCCCATTTAGTGAAGAAGCATCTCAAAACAAAACATTCAGATTCACTTCCTCCGCTTGATTTTTTCTCTTTGCTTCAACCTGGCCCCAAATAAAAAAATTGATTTAGTTTTCTTAGGTTTTTGCTCAAAGATTTTGGTTTTCGTGTTTTGGAGGAGAAGACTCTATGCTCTGGGAAAACATTGGTTGTTCTGCATTTTCTGATGAAATCTCTCCCTATTTAGCCAGTTGTTAGAGGTGTTTAACAGCACATGTTAAGAAACACAAACACCCTGACTTTATTTTAAGTAGTTCAAAACAAAATGTATTTTGATAATTTTTAGTAGTGAATAGGCATAGGGAAACCTGTAAGGACTGTAGGATATATTTCTCTTTCCAAGATTTTTTTCTGTAACACAATTAATAGCATTCTCAAGTGCCTTTGCAAGTTCCAGTCTTGATAATTTTTCCACTTACAGAAGACCAAGTATCACAATACAGGGTCATAACTTACTGTGCAAATCACGTATTCTTTACAATCCTAAATAATATTCTTTCTCCCTGAAAGGAGATGCTTATTGTTACTTGAGTCCTGATGGCCAACAGGCTCATCACTAGCTGCCCACACAAAATCTATGTAGCTACTGAATATCTGTATTTTTTCAGCTTGATGATGTCCTCCAGAAGTGATATTAACAATACTGGAGGGGATTTTTTTTTGCTGCTGACTACATTTGTACGTTAACCATTGCGAAGCATAATGAAGAGTTGGACAGTTTCTTTATGTAGTACATCTGTTTGTTGGGGATAGTCCTTATAGATTTGATAAAATTCATAAATCAAATGTTTAACCTCCCAGGTTAAACATTTTCTTTTCAGAGACGATGTGTCTGTGATGGGGGAGAGCTGAGTCTAGCAGTCCTGTTTCTCCATATGGGAAGCATGATATATAATGCATCTCATCGATTATATTGTATGATATCTGGCAAAAAGAGCAGAATTTGTGTTATTTTGTGAGGATTGCCTACTACTTATTGAAATTGTGAGAGTCGCACAGTGTCATTTGAAACTTCTTCCTTCCCCAAGGACGATTTTGCTCTTCTTGCTCTTTGGAAACCCTGTTTGAGTCCTGTAAGGCCCTCTGGTTTTGAAAGCCCTTATAATTACAGACTCAGTTGCCTATAACTACAGCTGCTCCTTAATTTTCTGTGACTTGTAAGGCACTGATTGGTTCCTGCCTGACCCACAACATCTTTTTTGCTATTACTTTGTAATGGTAGTCTCTAACCTACATTCTCATTTCAAACATATTTCTGGAGCTATATCCTGCCTACGTCATGTCTACTACACTTTTTAGCTTTCAGACTCCCACTCCCACTCATGTTTAATTCTGCTTTGTTTTTTCTTTTCTTGATGCTGTATTTATAGATGGGGGTTTTTTTGTCTGTTTCCATAAACCTACTTCAGTCCTCTCAGAACTTTTCCTTTCTTCCTTTCCATCAGAACGTTGTTATTCAGAATTTAATAAGATGCTTACAACAAGACTCCTTTGTTCTTTGTGCAAAAGATGCAAATGGCTTTCTGTCAGCTGCAGTGCATTCAAACCTCCTTTATCTCCGTTCTGTTCGAAATTCAGCCTTAGACTCCATACAAAATAAAATAAATTCAACTTAAACCACAGGTCATACTGATCTAAACAACTAGTCCTAAAACCATATCTAACTCTTTTTCTCTGTTCTCCTTCACCAATGCTGATCATGCATGTACCCTGGCAACATCATCAGAGGAATTTGAATCCCTCCCCACAACCCTACAATCCCTAGCTCAAGGCCATGGTCACCTGAGCTACAGGGGTAACCGTTAGTTAACCACTGCACAGAAGTGCTGCCCAAAGGAAAAAGCAATGTACATTTATTGCTGGGGCGAGACACTGTAAGGAGTGCTTGGAGTCCTGCTCTGGAAGGGAAGCACTGCCTACTGCTTATGGAGGTGGTTATACAAGTGTGATCCCACACACAAGCACAGCCAGGAGATATTCTTCTGGGGAGTCAGGTTCTACCTGTCACGGAGACAGCATTTATTCTGTCATGTCAACAGTGAGGGAAATGATCTCATCCGTCATATAGCAGTTATCATATCTGTATTGTGGGATGGCTCAAACATGGGTGCTGAGGCAGTGCTTAGTAATAAGAGTGGGGAAAAAACATCAGTGGGTGGTCAAACAGGTGACCTTGCTCTTTCCTGACTCCTCTGTGCCTCCTGATAGGTTAAATTGTGTTTTGACTGGAATTTCTTTGCCTCCATGAAACCATGAGTCTGAGTCATTTGAAATGTGTACTTAGGGCTGTTTACATTACCAAACGTCTTTGTTTTTATTTCCAGTGGAAGGAAGGAAGGGCCCCACAGTTCTCTTCAGTTAGAGACAGCAGCAGGGATTTTTTTGCGAAGCTCTGTTGATGCTGAAGGGGCACGTGGAGAGGATTTCTCAGAGTGAGGGCTGGCAGGCTACAGCTACTAAACTGCTGCTCAGAGGTCCTGGCCCAGTGGGCCTGGTAAGCTTTCTCCAGCTTCCAGAAAAATATCCCCTTTGGGAGCTACTGAGGAGATCTGCTGGGCTCCCTCTCCCTCATAAACATTAAATCCTTTTGTTCCCAAACCCTGCCCTCAGCCTTTTCTCTCAACACAAACATCTCTATGTAATCCCATGCTGCAGAGGGAAACAGGAAGGCATTCCTCCTTTGCCTTGCCTTGCCTTGCCTTGCCTTGCCTTGCCTTGCCTTGCCTTCCCTTCCCTTCCCTTCCCTCACTTTCACTCCTCACAGATTTGTTTTTATAAAGAAATAAACATTTGGCACTAGTCTTAAAGGCAAGGATATACGAGGTATAAAATAGCGATGGCAACTTCAGGCTGCCCTGTAAACATATGCACATTGTAAGCGCCATGCACGCCTAATCTGCAAGCCTAAGTCAGACTATTTTGCGGAGTTTCTCAATCAGATTTTTTTATGAGTGGGAAGTGTCTTCTCTCTCTGTTACTGTCAACAGGCAAATTGTCTTTTGCTACAGTTGAAGAGCACATCCCTTTATTTTAGCGTTTGCATTTAGCAGATGTCACCCTTAAGCAAATTTAATGTTATTTAAGTTAAGTTTTTATTTGTGCAGTATATAAATCATTACACTAAACAGTCATAAATACTGTACGGTAAATTGTGACAGTTCTTTTAAACTCTCATCTCACTTCTGCTCACTAAGCTGTCTGTACCAGAATATTTCTAATGTCTGAAGAGCTTCAAGGAATAGGATTTATTATTCAAGGAATTTTTATTTATTATTTTTTTGATTTTGAGACAACCTGCCATGTACCTTTTAATTTCTTATCCCCTAATGGGGAATTGCCCTCTCTAAAACTCAACTGTGAAACAGAGAATGAATTTATGTTGGAAGAGATCTTTGGAGGCCATCTGGCTCATGTCTCTACCCAGAGCAGGACAACTTTGAAGGCAGATCCAAGTTGACACAAGCTTCACATGTGCTGGTTCAAGGGGCAGGGATAAGAGTTGGCACCTTGAGACTCCTAAGGGTTAGAAGCTGAAGCTTTATGCTGTTGGGGAAAAAAATACAGTTTGGGGATATATGTGTGATTCTCTTTCTTTGAACAGTTTTGACAAGGGAAAAATGAGCTATATTTTTGTGTTAAATGAAAATTTTAAACAACATCATCAAAAATGCTGGCTGCCACAATCCAACAACTTCTTTCTATCGCTGAAAGTTCCTAGACATAGTTCTTAATATCAGTACGCTACTGTGCTGGCAAACACTATTTCAATCAAGTTTTATAGGCCTATATATATAATGTATTTTTTCACATTCAGAGTTTCATAAACATCATTCTCATTATGGAAAGAGCCAGCACTTGAGAAGACTGAGGCATGTGGTTGTTACAAAAATGCTTGGTAAAACACTTCTAAGTAGTCCTAAAATAATTGTAATAACTTATTTCATATCACATCATATTTCCTGTAAAACGGTACTGTGTGTAAGTGCACAGTCTAAATTGAGGAAGACTGTTCTCCTGCTGAGTGGTAAAGCTCACATATAAATAACTTGATCATCCCAAACTGCTGCTGATATAAAACCTCCTCCTAAAATATATCAGATGTCATCACGTGTTCCCTATGAAAACAGACGGCCTTCATGTCTGTAGCTGTTGACTATAAAGCGAGCTGATATCTTTCTAGATGAAAGGCTCTTGACTGTTTATTAATAACGCCATTTTCAAATGGCCTGAGTTCCTTCCAGACATTTGAGCTTTCTGTTTTCTATAGGGTTGGTGCCTCTAGGGGAGCAAAGAGTCAGCCAAGAGGAAACAGAGAGAACAGGGACTTAGCCAGGATTACACCTGGGTACCTCCCGAAGTCGCCACTGTTTGCCTCTGCCTTTTCCATTTTCCCCTTTCCACACAGCCGTGCTGCTGGAGACCTGCTGTGACAGTTCCAGGCCACATCCTTATGGCAAAGAAACTTGAGTTACTTTTACACCCACAGAAAAAGAAAAACAGTAATAATTTACAAAACGTTAAAAGTACACTTAAACCTTAGAGAAAGCAGTGGGATCAGAGGAGCCCTCTGATCATTTTAGAGATTAGCCTCTAAGCCAGTTGAATGGTCTGCGGTAATCTTTTACAACGTATTTCATAAGCAAACAACCCCACAGGCTATACTGCAACTTTACACCGGGCTGCAGATTTGGAGAGAGCTTCTTGGAACACACAGCATTCAGTTTTCCCAATACAGTGCACAGACTTAGATCCAAAGAGACTCAGATTTAATCCTGGGTTTCTCATCAACCCTCTGAAACATGGCCCTACCTCTTAAGCTGCTCCCAAGCCACCTTTCTCCAATTAAGAAGAGCTGGATTGTAAAATGCCACATCCTGTACCCATTTGGCTTGGCACATTTAATGAACCATTGTGGTAGAAACAAGGTAATGCCCTAAAGCGACTGAAGACTAATCCATTTTTCCTTCTCCCCTCCCAAATCATTCAACTAGCAAACTCCCACCATCAGTTGCACGAATCTGCTCTCTCCTTGAAGGGTTTCTGCAGACAATTTTTCTGTCAGTTTTATGTCTCATAATTCTGGTTAGCTCTGCTCTGGCAGCTGTGGGGTGGTGTTTTCCCCACCCCGCCACAATAAATGCCCTTTTGCAAAGCAGATTCAGTTACTTTCCTTCCCAATGGCCTGAAATGGAAGAACTGTGGGTAGGGTGAAGGCTAAGCACCAACCTTCTCCTTCCCACTCTCTTCTGCAAGTGGATATATGTGGCCTGGATGGGAAAGAGTAAAATAACTTCTCATGGTCTCGTGTTTGGAGATGTCGATATGAACTTTCCCCTTTTCTTCCTCCTTCAGGCTGTGTCCACTGGTAATACTTTGAGAAACAGAAATGTTGGGAGGAGATGTAAATCTTCTCCAACATTTCACTACTCCTCACTAAATAGAAAGGAAAGCCTTACAATGTTTTCTAGGGATGGCCCCCAGAAACAATGGATAAACATGTCTTGTAAACTTTTCCACAATTTTGGCATTGTGATTTTAAATTGTTTTAAATTCCCTTTTAATATCCTCCTTCCATCCAAAGTAGCCTCACTCCATAAGGAGACATCTACTTATCAGAGGAGCAGAATGTAATTTCGTATCAGCATCCAGTACTTTCAGAGTTTCTCCTACCAAAGCTCTCTATCTTCTGGGCAGAAGTCATGCAACTGAGTAACACCATCCTGTAGGACCTCAGTTCAAGGTTTTCTCTAAGGGCTGAGAAGCCACTGAAGTAGAGCTCAGGTTTGAGTAAACAGTCAGTGAAACAACGCAGGATTTCTTTCAGTGCTCTGCTCTGCTGCTCATTTCCTTTTGCACCTCACCCAATTCTGCTCCTCAGATTTTATGAAGACGTTAAAATACCACATTAGTTGCAAATGTAATATGGCATAAACAATTCACTCAGCATGCTGTTTGAGGGAAATGTGGAATAGCAATTGGACTACTGGCAACAACAAGTTTTTTAAGAAGGAGAAGTTACATCGTAGCCACATTTGCACTGACACGTTTTGAGGTTAAAATTGTTCTGAGCTGTTCTCTCTGAAATAATTGTCTAGCTACAAATGCCTCCAGAACAGTCACTAGTGCACAGCAGAGCTAAGTTTGTGCTCAGACAAGAAAAGAACGGGTGGGAATTGATTCTTGCTGGTGTAGGGTTTCATAACTTGCCTATCGGGAGAAAATGCTTGAGACATATCTGGATCATATGTCATAGAAAAAACAACACTTATTAAAAAGATTGCACAAAACACTACCTAGACTTCATGGAAACCATGATGTTAAAGCCAGTGTTTCTGTTAAATGTGAAATATATGCCTAATATGCAGATTAATTTGAGGGGCATTCTTTCTTAAATAACTATAAACTTAAGAGCAAGAGGATCTTTCAGAATAATGGATCATCTTTAAATATTACTTCAGTACTATCACATGTGATTTTCTCAAAAAAGAGAACTAAAGTGATCCTGCAATTAATGTGATACGAGAGAATAATTCTAGATGGTGACCAACGGGAAAAACATCTGGAAGAGGGTACACTGCCCATCTGTGTACTGAAATGCCTGGAGAGGACAATTTGTGTGGAGCATAACAGAACAGTCTACTAGGAGCTGGGAGGAGGCAGACTGCTCCTCTTGGAGGGTTTTATCGTTACCCACGTTAGCAGGTTATCCTGCTACCCTTTTTCTTAAGTGGAAAAAATTCAAGATTCAAACCACAGTCTTTGCTACTCATACCAAGCCCAGAGGAGTCATACCAAGAACTGGGCTGTGTAAAGTAGTGTGCTCCTGGTGTCGGAGAGGGGTCCAAGGGAGCCCCTTCATCTACACTATTCACCATTTTCTTCCTTATTTATACTCTTCCTTTCCTAGGAGAATGTTTCCAGCCATGAGAGTGAAAATTACAGGCTTGGATCCCCACCAGCAGTATTATATTGCCATGGACATTGTGCCTGTGGATAACAAGAGATACAGGTAAGCTTTTTAGGTGCAGACTTAGCAACATTGTGATCTTAGTGTCAGTGAAAGCCTCGGAAAGACACATGCCATTATACAGCATTGTAAAGGTATGCTGGAGGAGACCACGTTGATTTACACCAATATAGGTGATTTGACCAGAATCGTGAGACACAAAAACAGAGGTTTAATATGCTCTCTTGCACTTTTGGATTGAAATCTTGCTCTTTTCAAATAGCAGTTTTTAACTGGGGAGATCCCTACCACGTATTTCACAATTGACATAATTTGCAATGACTGAGGGAACTGAGTTATCAACAGGGAGTCTAGAGCCTCTAGAACTACTTCAGCAAGAAAGGAATGGGCAAGTGGCAGCTCAGGTCTGGCCTGAACTGAATTGGGTGATTTTTGTTTTAAAAGCATTCACTGTCCAGCACAGCAGCCACAGGGAATATGGGCCCTGACCTACAGTAGGAGGACATTGAGAAACCCTCTGGTGAATCTCCACCACTGAGCTGAAAGACAGGAAGAAGAGATTTCACTGGTATTAATGTGCTCCCAATCCTAAAAAGTACTGTGGAAAATTCATGGTCCTCTGCAACCCAGAAAACTATCCAGACAGAGGTGATTTATCTCTACTCATTCTCTGAGAGCAAGTCTTTACCCCAAATAGTCTTGATCACACCACATTTGAAGGATTCAAGAATTCATCCTCTGCTTTAGAAGTCGAATATTACATTTTTGCTCTCAGATTGTGCAGAATGTTTCTCAGAAAAATGCTTTACCTGGGAAGCATCAAGGTAGTTTGTGACAGTCAGCTAGATGTTTTGCCCCTTTCTTTGGTTCTGACAGCATTAATGTCAAAAATAAATACATTGCCTTACACTTTGTTTCTGTTCTTGATAGTTTGTGCAGCCACGTAGAACAAACCAGCAGCAAAAGGAACAGATTCTTTTTTCTTTTTTTTGCATTTCTTTTGAAAATACATGAAATGAGTCACTTTTTGTATGTAAGGACTGAAATAGCTTAGCAGAGCTGAGTAGAGACCCAGTGAAGGCCAGCACAGAGCAGGACTCAGAGGTGTTAGCAGGACTGTTTGTGAAATGCCTTAGGCTGAAGGAGCCACAGGACAGAAAGAGAAATAGTGTCTAGGCAAAGCTGTGGTAGAGAAATTTACGGCACATATAGGATGGCTAGATCAGGAACACAAAAGATCGCAAGATATCAGGAACAAAAAAGTTATTTCTTCCTCTAATCCCAGCATTTATTATACTATGTGGAATTTCCTATTTTGCAACAATTCAAGCCAGAATTCGGTTTTATCAATTGTTCTCGTGGTATCCACTGGATTCTGCCCTTTCTGAATGAAGACACATGTGTTTTGCACAGTCTGGCATGGCAGCCATTGCAGATTTCCAGAAATTACAGGGCATTTATTAATATTTTCAGAAAGGGCTTTGTTTACCAATATTTTCTAGCCTCTTACTCTGGCTCAGAGAGAGTTAAGGAATTGAGAAGGCACATGTGGTGGAGTTTTACAGGGAAAATAACTGCAAAGGTGGTTTTAATAAGGAATCAAGTCTGAACAAGTGGCTCAGGGGTAATCTGGCTTTCATTTAGAAGGTAGGAGGTTGCAATAAAGCACATTCTCCCCTGACTGCAAATGAGAGCTTGGGGTGTATGTGGTAGGGTGGCAGGGCAGGGGAGGGGGAGCCCTGAAAATGTTCCTCTGGTGAGTGACAGCTTCCCTTAGCCATCTCCCCTTTGTCTTTCAGGTATGTGTATCATAGCTCCAAGTGGATGGTGGCTGGCAATGCTGACTCCCCAGTGCCCCCGAGAGTTTACATCCACCCCGACTCACTGGCCTCTGGAGACACCTGGATGAGGCAGGTGGTCAGCTTTGACAAGCTCAAGCTGACCAACAACGAGCTTGATGATCAAGGCCATGTAAGTTAGAAGCTGATCCTGGTGCCTGCTGCTCCAACCTCGCTCCTCTCAGACTTGAAGGGGTGATGCTGCTGCTGCTGCAATGCTCCTGTGTCCTGCTGGGCACGCATGCTTGTAGCCACTTCTAGAGTTATGGAGCTTTTTTCCCTACTTCAGTGCTTTTCTTCAAAATGTTGCCTGGCCCTATAAAGCAATAAAGCCTCTTTCTCCCTGTACATAGCACAAACTTTATCTCATACGTACTTGTAAGAAAAGGGTAATTTTCTTCATGGTAGCTCTTGCTCCATCCCTGCTTCCTTGTGCATCTGGATGTAGCACAAAATATTTGGAGAAAGACCCCGACTTTTCCTTCTCCTTTTGTTTTCTCTTCAGATAATTTTACATTCAATGCATAAGTACCAGCCCCGTGTTCATGTCATCCGCAAGGATTTCAGCAGTGATCTTTCTCCTACAAAGCCAGTTCCTTCAGGAGATGGGGTGAAAACCTTCAACTTCCCTGAGACTGTCTTCACCACAGTGACAGCCTACCAAAATCAACAGGTAAACCTGTGTGCCTTCAGGTTCCTTTAATGTTGGGTGTTCATAAAAATATTGGTGTGCTCTTTGTGTTTGAGACATTAACTTCTCTAAGAAACGTAGCTCAAGAAGAGTGCACACTTCATAGGCTGAGTGTGGGGCTTTTTTTCTGTTCAAAAAGAAAATGCCTGTTATGGGGTAGTATGTAGACATGAGGTATCTAGACAGAAAACCGTCTTGCGGAAAAGGTGCCTGTACTTTTTACTGTAAAGTAAGAAGGTGAAACCAACCATGAAGAGGTGCATTGTTGTCACTTTTCCTTGCTGCCTCTGGTACAAACTACAGTGTCCTGTCCCCACTGTATTTTTCAGGCAGTACAACTAGTCCAGATTTGTTATCTTGCAGAGAAAACACATAGGATTTTTTTTCACTGCTGAAATGAAGGAAAAAGTTTTAGAGAAGAGGAATCTCATCAGTTTGCTGACAAAAGAAGCTTTTGAACATAAGCAGCAGCATTCCATGTACTGCATATGAACTAAAATTCTCATGCATAATTCATGTTTGATTCAGATCTTGCACAGCTCCCAGTGGAGAGTGTTACTGTTGATTTCAGATATCATAAGGAAAAGATGTTGCCACAGTGGGATCCTATCGGCAGAGGCCTTGACTACTGAGCTTTGTTGCTGATCTGCCCTTTTTCTTAAACTAGACTCCATGGCACTAAGAAGTGTAATCTCAGTCCACGCTAGTGTTTGATTACAGAATTCCCTGTCTGTCCCTATTTCCCCTGGAGATATGATATCATTGAGAGGAAACTAATTGCTAGTTTTGGAAAGAGCTTGCTGTGGATTATACACGTTTGCTCCCCCTTCTCCTTCAGTGGCCAGTGACATCTGGTGTCCTACTCTTTGAGGAGGAGGTGGCCAGCTTCATCAATTCTGCAGGCATGTTCATTGCACACACTGAGAGCTCCTTATTATTGAGAGCTCCACCCATTCCCTGTGTAGTCTCCTTACGTATTGCTCATCTGCCAGAATTCTCAGGGATTCCCATTAGCCTTCACACCAGCTCTGTCATGTATTGGGCTCAGTGTGCTGCTCTTCCCTTGTTCATGCACACATGCTCCCTACTTTATACTCAGGTGAGAGGCGCTATGTACATCCCATTTCCCTATCCTGCTATTCTTCTCCTTATTGGGGTAGGGGTTATGATGGCATTGAAAGGGCCATGTAACATTATTTTTTCCCAGCCATGTGAAACAGAATCTCAGTTGGTGAAGCTTTTTGTTGTGTTAATAATATGTCCACTCAGAGAGGTACTGTCATAAGCAAGAAAGCGCAAAGCAAAAACTGGCTTGGAAGAAAAATAATCTGTTATCAAGCCTATTAGGAAAGTGGGTTACACAATTTTCTGCCACAAATTGCAGAGGAGTCTTGAATCAGAAATGCTGAGGTAATTATTTCTCCAAGACAACATCTGTGCTCCTGGAGAATGACTTCATGAACTCAGTGGACATCATTATATTTAGTATTGTTACACTGAGGGACAGACCCATGTCAAATCAGTTTAGGGCAGATTGCAATATATAGCCAATTTGTAACAATTGTGAATTGTAACAGTTTAGAGAATCATTATAGAGTTTTTAATTTGCAACACATAAGTGAGAGTGAGAGCACACGTGCTGATAGTACTCCCGTGGCTGCTTCTGGATACCCACTCCTAACTTTTTCTCACTCTGGTCCCCTTGAATTGACTTAAATTAGGATCCAAAATGGATCAACTATTCTAGCAGAAAAAAAAATATTGTAACACAATGGTGGGTTTGCCATCATTGCAGCACTGAAAACTTCCTGACCCTCCCCCACCCCCATTCCCAAATGCATGCTCACAAACTTTTAACTGTAGACCAGACATGGAAAGAGGACAGAGAAAGGAGAAGAAACAAGAGACAATAAGTCTGTTGTTCTTTCCTAAAGACTGGACCTATAAGACACAATTACACAGGTAAGGGAAGGGCTAAGGGAGGGATCTCTGTCAGGCACTGGCACTGAAAGCCACCTCACTGTAAAGAAGTGCTGAAATTTCTTACTGTCTCTGAATTCCAAACATTTGGGGGTTTTGTCCAAAACAATCAGGGGGGGGGGGGGGGGGGGCAGGGCATTTTTATGATACCAGTAAAGGGGATTCTGGTGCATTGGAGAACCCTTATCATTAAAAATAAATTTAAATCCTTTGAATCTGCCTGCATGCTCTCCAGTGGCTGTAAAGCTTTGCCTTACTGGGAGAAGGGTCTCTGGAAATAATTGTAAAATGTTAGCAAATCCACCACAGGGATTCCCTCTGCTGTAATTCCATCCTCCACAGAACATATCTGTCTCTGTCCACACAAGTCCCAGGACAGCTGCAAAGTCAGGCTAGCGGAAATTAAGTTCACAAATTAAGCTTCTGCAAAAATAGGAGCTGCATTCCAGATCTGAGGTTAATATCCAGAGTAAGGGCTTGGTTCTGACAGAAGCAAAACACCTGCAAATCCGCTTCAGATCAGTCTGTATTAAACTAGTCCCTTTTGAGCAGTTTCAGCAAAACCACCTCAAATTTGATAGGATCTGGAGATCTCGCTCTCTTTTCACTCCAGAGACAGGGTCTCTGGGACAAGGTGAGGTTGGCAGAGGGAAGCTCCAGGCTGGGGAATAGCCGACAGGGAGTATGATACCATGGGCTGCAAGGTCAAAACCCCTATATTGTTTTCCGTATTTACCAACATGGAATTCATGCCTAAAAATAAAGTAGGAAGGAAGATTCCCCCAAAGGATTTGGTCCAGCTGTCATCTTCATTGTTTAGGGGGGAGGAAGGGGGAAGGTTTCTAGATGAGAAAACCCTTGAAGGGCCACCCAGACACTGACCAGAACAGCAGCACCTTGTGCATGTAACCAGGTGGCCAGCTGCCGGCTTTGGAGACTGTAGCCTGTACTTTTGCTTGGCCTTTTCTCCTTAGTGTTGTTTGAAGATCCATGAGTGCATCCAGCTATGCAGCTGCTGGATATGCTGGAGTGTTGAGGCTGGGACAACGCAGATACCAGCCAAACCTGAGCAGTATGCCTGCTTCCTGAACCACATCGCCATTGATGAGTTACAGATCCCAGGGTTTTGCGCTTAGGTCCAAGCTGTGCTTCTCCTTCGGGAACAGCTTCTCAGCCCCAGTGCTGTGCCAGATTTCCCAGTGCTGCCGGGTTTCTGCCTCTGGCACTGTTCATTTGCAAAGCAGATAATCTGTTCATGGACAACGGAAGGGCAACTGTAATATAAGTCTGGGGAAATAAGTACAAAAGGTCATCGTACAGGTGGTTTGGGTAAGAGCGGTAATCATCAGTAATTGTCATTTGTTGAAAGAAAAAAAGTTTGGAGAGATCAACTAATTCTCTTTTTCTTCCTTTGTAGATCACCAGATTAAAAATTGACAGAAACCCCTTCGCTAAAGGTTTCAGAGATTCTGGGAGAAACAGGTAACAGGAGCTTGTTTGTGTTTCCTCACTGATGTCTTCTCTCCTTCCCATGATGATTGCAGAGGGCATGTGTCTAAGGCTGAGGAAGGCATTTTGTGATCTTAATCAATTTTTACAGAAGTTTGCTGTAGACTAGTTCTTAGAGGAATTGGAAGGACTGTTTTACTTTGCCTAAACAGATCCAACGTATAATGACGACTTTCCAGATTAGCCAGATAGACTGACCCCATTTCTTTTCAGAAGTCTCCTCCAGTGCTGCTCCTGCCTCTGCCTGGATCCTGCAGTCCCAAACCCTGATAGAGGGTTTTAGATGTTCTTAGACAACAGATCTGTAGAGACAGCTTATCGCTTTCCTGCTTGACAACATATTTTCTGTGACTGTATTTTTTTGCTGTCATATGTTTAATTTCCTGTTCACTGCTACCTTAGTACCCCTTCCATTACCACTACTTACAAGGCTGCTTTCTTCTGTATGTATGTTTTGCTGTTGTTTTTTTTTTCCCTGCTGGATAATTAATTTATGCTCATTTCTATTATTTTCATGTTCCTCTGAGCTTTTCCATTTGTTGTTGAGCAACATAATTAAAACATTCTTTAGCATCTCTGATAAGTTATTAGTAAATTGTTCATGTATTACTGATATGGTGCCATGATATCCAAAGAATTAGGTGAAATAAATGAACTTGTAAAGATACTGTAGAGTTTCTTAAAAAAAAGAAAAAAAAAAATTCTTACTAAATTGAAGAACAGAGATAGAAAAATGGAGGATTGCAGATTGTAAAACAGACAACTAGGCCACAGGCTAACACTGCAAAATAATGAAAGCTGTAGGACAGGGGGGCCGGACACTTTTGGTTGTTCTTTATTATATGTAGAGCTGCCTGAAGGGCATCTTTTAATTTTAATTTTCACAGAAGATTCCAAAACTTGGAGCACAAACGTTTGCTTTACATTAGAAGAAAAATTGAGTTTCTAATAAGTTTGCAGGATAAAAGTGCAAAATATTCTAGTTTCAAACAATTTCATCTTTTCTCCAGTGATGTCAAATTATTTCATTTTGATTGTGTCACTGAAGTTTGTCAGGATTTTTATGAAATCATAAGTAGAACAACTTAAATGTTATTTAGAATATGTTAGATTTTAACAACACAATAGTAAAACAGGAACTTTAATCAAAAGAACTTTTGTATTAGTAACAGACATTACAGTTATCAAAAAAGAATAAGAAAGCCCAAAGAAAAAGTTTTGACTTTTTACGTGATAAAAAAAAGGATATGCAGATATCCTTTAAATCAGCATGACAAAGACTTTAAACATTAAACTAATTCTAGAATTAGACATATGACGACGTTACAAGAACCCTAGGATTGTAAAGCAAGCTTCTTTGTGTGCAGACTGGAGTGAAAGTTGTGTGCATAGCCCTTATTTGCTGTCCCCATGGGCACTGTAATTCCATTTTTACTTGCATGCTCCTTGTGTGTGTGTTCACCGGGACCCCCACCTCATTCATGATTTGGTGTGGGAAGCCTTCAGTGAATGGGCAGCTGCCCCGTGTTTCCCATCACAGGTGTAAGCGCTACACTCTCCAGGATCACAAAGAAGGCATCTTACTGACCTGGTGGCTTCCTTGCTTGGCTCCTCTGTTCTCATCTAAATGTAGCTATGTGAAAAGATGTTACCACCCTTATTTAATTCCCGCCGTGAGCATTAGCTCTGGTACTTGAGACATATGTGACTTTTACTCTGCTCTCCTCTCCTGCGTGGGGGAAGTAGCACATGCCCCGAGTACAAGGTCTTCCCTGTGTGCAGAGATACAGCTGCACGGGAGGCAGGGCTTAGAAGAGGGATTGATGCAGTTCCAGGTACATGGTGGGCTAGATTAACGTGGAAGGCATTAATAAGGTCCTAGCCCAGTGAATTTGGACAGTTTCCTGAAAAGGTTGGGAATTACTGATCTTTGTAGCTCATTGATTTAAGAAAGGGCAGGAAATTGCTACACGGCTGCAGCTGTGGGGAGGGCTCAGTAAGGCTCTCTGCTGATGTAAAGAGGAATTAAAATCTTTAAGGTATTACACATCAAAGAGAGCAGCCTGAGGCTTTAGGAAGGAAAAACAGGCAAAGGTATTTGCAAGCATATATAGCAGTCAGGCGCCTGCCTCACAAGCAGTGGTCTGGCTAAGGTTGCACTGCTGTTGTCAAATAGCGGAGGACATTCTGACACTCAGCTGCTCCCTTTAAAGAGGACACATACATAGATGCACACATAGCAGGAGAAAAGCATTAAGGTCCAAGCTGTGTGTGGAAAGGACTCTCCAAATGGGACTTAACTGTGCTGGATGGCTCCTCTTCACCTTGTGACTTTCTAATCTCATCAGGATTACTGGTCAACTGGAGTGACGGTTGTGATACTCTGTAGCTTCCCACATCCCCACAACAACTTTGGTCAGCTGTGGTGCCTCAAGCTATAGCTGGAGAATGTTCCACTGAAAATGTAGGCCTTCTTTGAAAAAGAAACAGGGTAATTTGGAAAAGGGGCTGTTTGTGAAGCAGGCAAGTGTAGTATATATCCAAGGTTTTCTGTATAAGGTCTTAAAAGAAAAAAAAAATGTAGTGTGGCAGCCGCATGGGCCACAAAATGTCTTGAGGCAGCCCCAGGGCATCGTGTCCTAGCGACACGGGATACTGAATCAGAGCCATGGTTAGAGTTTACCAGCAAATGATGGAGAAAAAAACCCAAACACTGGAAAAATGGAGTGTGGTGGGAAAAGAGGAACTCTTAGGCCACCTCTTCCCCGGGACATTTCCTTTCTGCTTTGTGTTGAGGCTTTTCCATGAAATGGAGATGGATGTTTTTCCTTCAGTTATTTCTTATTCTGATATTGTTTCACTGTTGTTGCCTGCTGCAGAAATTATGGGGTTGATTGTTTTTTAACAAATTAGTTTCCCTTTTAAATCTTTCACTTCCAACAGCTCACAATCTTCCCGTATGTTTCCTTATGAGTGTGCTCTGCCTTCGTTAGTACAAGAGACTGCTAAAATCCTGCTGCCCTCGGGGCACCCCATCACGATGTAACTGCCTGTATCCATCTGAGGGAGTGATCTTTTCATGGATCCCTTCTTGGATCTCCTTCAGTTGCTCACATGGTTGTCTCCCTTCACAACTGACTGCCTCAGTCCTTGAGCTGGAAGAAGGAGCAGTGAGGTATTTCAGAGGGAAGGATGCGAACAGCTCAGGAGCTGTACGTTGTTTTGCAGTCTTAGAGCACTCGAACCATGTTAACTAATGGTGTTCAGAAATCTAGCCCTCAGCCTTGATGAGTTAGGGAGTTAGCCTGTGGTAGAGGCTGATTCTTAGCTCCCTCTTATTAGAGATTCCCTCTACATGATTTTTGGTCCCTCTTTGCTTTATCTGCAAAAGCACAGGAAGCATCTGTAAAAGTGAAACAAGACAATCGGTCCTGGTAGTGAAAGGACACCTATATCATTGCACCTATGAGGCGGGTATTACTTGATTGCTTTCCTGAACTTCAAGAGATAGAGGACCAGAGTTTTTGACATATGGAGCTCAGCTAGCCAAATGTTTGGGTAGTGAGGCTGTAGGTTTAATGCCACAGAGCCTATTTTTGGAGACTAAGTAAAGTTCATTTGACAGTGGGATCGCTGGGGGAGCTCCTTATCCAGGAGGAAGCCAGAAGGGACAACAGTCAGGAAACCCAGCAGGGTGAGGGAAGAAAAAAACCTAAGCTGAAGGCAAGCAACAGCACTTTCCTTTCAGATGTGGGCAGCTGAGGTGGATAGAAGTTGTTTGTGTTGGAAATGCTCTTTGAGCTTTTGTCTAGGGTAAGAGAGCCAGGAGGGTGCTTGGAGCCAATAGTTTGGCTTCCCCAGTGAACAATGAAATGATGACCTGAATCCTGCGTGCAGCGGGAATGGCAAGGTCAGCCATATGGGGTGGATTATGGAGGTGCACAGATAGCTCGTACATCTTTTTTCATTTTTCAGACAATGGAACTGTTTCATTTATTGCCTATTATTAAAACTTTATAGCACTAAAAATAAAAAAATGAATGAAAAAGAGAGAGCGAATTTTGGATACCTTTTAAAGGACTGACCTTATTAAAATAAAGCTGGCAGTGAGTCCTCTTCTGATACTTTTTTTTTACTTCCTTCATAAAGATGGTGTGAGAGGGGAGGGTTTATGGCCTGATAGACAGTTTGAAGTCATTTTTTCAGTGCAGTTCTTTGGAAGAGAAAGTGGATACCACATGGATAATGTTCAGCACACTTGGTACCAGCAGCCCTCACCAAAGCCCAAAAGAAGTTGCTGAGATTTCAGAAATGCTGAAAACAATTCCTTTTTTGTCAGCATTTATTGCTGTCCCATAATGTCTCTTCATTGGCCAGGTTGGGTTTGTTTTCCCTGTCAGGGGCTGGAACACACACAGAATAGCACTCCAGTATTTCTGCTGACTAGGAGAGCATTACCTTTCTCTCCTGTGGTGGAGGTCTGTGATGTGGCTCTGAATATCTGGGTACCACACTAATGTCATAAACTGCTATGCGAGAGAGGATTGTTAGAGTTGCAGCGATGGGGTTTCTTGATTCCCACCCCCTCACCCCACCTTTTTTATTTTACAAAAATAACAATACGTAACAGGAAGAAGAAAAAAAAATATATTGAAAGGTTAGGGATAGAGTTGTAAAATCAGCCACACAAATGTGGTGTGCATTCTGACCCAAGCTGTTTTTGCATGGCTGCACGTTGTTTTTCCGCAGTACTCCATGCGTGGGGTGATAGCTGCCTAGCAGGTTAGCACAAAAGGCTGATATCTCATGGATCTTGTCTGATGCATGGAAGAATCTGAAAGTTCAGTAGGGATGTTTCAGAAACACCCACAACATTTGTTATGCACAAAGATAAAAAAAAACCCACCCAAACCAGGAAAAAAAGGATGATCTAGGGGACCTACAGGGTCCTAAATTTGTGTGTAAGAGAACTGGACATAACTTTGAGCTCTGTCACCCACATACTTAGGGAGGGTGTTTTATAACGTGTGTTCAACATGTTCAACTCCCACCTCTGGGGGAGTAAATGACTCTGGAGCAGGAAGAGGAAAGAGGTGGCTTTAAGCCAGCTGTGGAGTTTGGCATCCATTCTTCAGGTACCTGTGGCTGCAGTGTTGCCTGGAGTATTACACAGCAATCTCTGAATCCAGTGAAGCCACAGTGCTGCTGCCAGTAGTTGCAATGTGGAAAGGGGAAGGTGACAGGAGCTGCGTCTGCAGTAAAGGGGCTGTTCTGGACCTGCTGCCCTGGAGCAGGAGGAGGTGGGTCCCTGGTGGCATCCCTCCTTTCCCTGACATACAGGGCAGGAATAGAGCAGCTTTGCACTCAATGCTGCCATTTACCCCCTGTGGGCTCTCAGGCACAGTGGAGTCCAACCCCTGAAAGCAGTGTATTATTCCTGATTTACTCTTTTCTTTCTTCTTTTTATTATCTCCTGACTATTCTCTTTTTCCCTTTTTCTTTTAGACGTACAATTTATATGGTACTTGTGAGAACTGTATTGATACAGTAGAAAGTGTTAGACAGAGAGTTAGAAACTTTGAGCTATGAATCAAGCTGAGCTGAGAATGATGCAGGCTCGAGGCAGAGGCAGGCAGGGGTAATAGCTTTAACCTGCCTTTACAGTTTCTCTGAGCCACCTCCTGTTAGGGGTCGGATTTTACTGGAAAGGCTCATGAGACCTGAGCTAGAATTCAGATGCTGGTGCAGAGTGGGGCTATGAGCATGGGGATCTAATGACTGAGCCAGACTGTGTGAATGTTGGTTTTAGTGAGCTGGCCTCCCTACGTAACTGCACAATCCTTGTGGCAGACGCAAAGCAGCTGGATTAGCACAGCTGGAACTTTCAGTCTGCATTGCTGGATGTATGACTTGGTTTTAATCATCAGGGCAGGGCCTTTCAACAGCAGGTTGAAACAGTCTTGCTGCACTGCAACCTGCTCAGGGCATTTTAAGCCCCCTACATGCATGGTACCAGAAAGTCCTCCCTGGGTGTTTGGGCTGGGGATTGTTTCACGAGGGTGCAAAAAGGTACCGTTCTCTTCCTGACTGTGTGTGTCGAGAAGCAAATGGAATCTGGACATCTGTGGCTTTCTCATACAGGGAGTGGAGGAAATCCTGGGGGTAGTGCCGGTAGTTGAAGAGCTGCTTTTGCACGCAGAGCCCAGCTTAGCAGATGGGTTCACATTCTGCACTGCCTTGTTGTCTCTGAGCTCCATGAGCTGGCAGAGGCCACTGTATTAACCAAATAGTTTTGTTGTAATGTGCTCAGCGCTAGTGTGAGACTGCTATGCAGAGATGTCTTCTGTTTCTACTTCTAACAGCTTAGCAGCTAATAAACACCATGCAACAACCTCTCTTCTAAACCTCCTCTTAAAATACAGAGTTTGGTTTGCCAACTCCAATGTATTTAAAGCATCCAAGCTTCCGGGGAGACTTTGGAAAGTTAACTGAGTGAGCAGAGGCACGTGCAGAAAGACATTTTCAGAAGCAAAAGGCAGCTCCAGTATCAGCTCAACATGTGATGAGAGGCTCTGGGGATGTTAGAGCCTTTTGCATTGAAAGGGGATATGTTCTCGCATTGACAAAGCATCTCTAGTTGTGTTCTGTTAGTGCAAGGGCTATAATCCACTGCTGGAAAAGAGGCAGGGGAAGGTGAGGAATGGGGAACAGAGCAGTTTGCAGCTTCCACAGAGGAGAGCCTTTCCTGGGAAGAAACTCCAGGGGGTTGCTTTGTAAAGAACATGGGGGTCTTTTTCTAATAATGCACGTGTCCTCACTGAGCCTGTGGAGTTAGAGATTTTCAGCAGAGCTAGCATTCTGTGGTGAAAATAAGAACAAATCTGAGACCTCAGCCCCTCAAGAGGCAAAATTCTCACTTGATTTTTGGCTTTTTCTCTTTGGTACTATCTTTGCGGTGAGTTAGCGACCAAAAGCAGAGATGCCACTGATCTTTTATAAAAAAACTTACGCATTTCTAGTTGAAGTCCAAAACCAAGGAGATTTCCTTTTGAACGGCTTCCTATAACACTTCAAAGGAGCACCCAGAACTAGGAGGTGGCAGGGAAAGACAATGCATAAAATCTCTCTGATTCCAGACCTCCCTTGTTTGCATCACAGCTTGCATCCACAAAGTGTGGAAGCCCACCCGATGATAAAATGTGCCTTGAGGAGCTGATGGTCATGTGTCCCCTTCAAAGCAGACAGAAAATTTGGGATCCTTGTTAAAAAAAAAAAAAGAAAAAGGAGCTGGAAGACTGTTAGGAGCTTTTGAAATCCTGGGCTGAGGAAATTTCATTTTACTCTAGTGGTTAGCACCTGTGTGGGAAGGCTCACTTGAGGAATTCACAGATGCCAAGGTGACCTTTTGGTGGCTGCTGGCAGCCTGTCAAGCAAGGTCAGAGCTCTCTTTCCCCAGTGCTGACACCCTTGCCAGCTGACTGACATTCTTTTTCTCTCCTTGCTTTATTTTCATTGCACAGGACGGGGCTGGAGGCCATTATGGAGACCTACGCCTTCTGGAGGCCCCCCGTGCGCACTCTCACCTTCGAAGACTTCACTACCATGCAGAAGCAGCAAGGTGAGCATACAAAGGGCATGCAAAGAGCTGTAGAAAGAGCAGGGGAAGAGGGTGTGAGAGCAGCAACGTGCTCTGCTGTGTGTCCAGCAGCCAGGATGGGGATGTCACACACCCTGTTGAGCTCTTGACTGCTGTGAAAGGACACAGAGCAGAGAGGATGGGTGGAAACAGTGGACAGCCTGTGCCTTATGAGGAGCAATTGAGCTGGTTCATCTCCCTGGTGTCCTCAGTGCTAGAGCTAGAAGGAGGAGCAGAAAGGAGCACGGGGTTAGGCGAGCCAGCCCAAGTACATGGCATGAGTTAAGTGTGAAGAGAGCACAGAGAGAATGAGGAAACATTCCAGCAGATGCATTGTTCTCCATTTATAGTTAATGTTTGCCATTTGTGTGGAAACACAAGGGGAAGGGGTGTATGTCCTCTGGAAGCTTTAGGAGAATGTGCTTCCCCCTAGGATCACTCTGCCTCGCTCTTAAAACTCAGTGGCCTTGCTGGAGAGACTTTCTGTTAGTACAAGTCTGGGAGGAATTATTGGGTAGGCCAAGTGTTTTCCGCTTGTTCATGCTGTGTCTTTTCATAGCTTCTGCCCTTTACATCTCTCATTTGTTAAGTAGAGCTTTGATCTCTAGTTTCAGACTGTGTTACTTTTTTTTTTTTTCCCCATGGCTAAGAGTTCCCCATTCACTTCATTGCAGATATTTCTAGTTAAAAACACAGTGATCACTGGGAATAGAGGTATCAGGGCAACCTGGAACTTTTTTTATTCCACTATACATGCAAGAAAAGAAACAATCCAAAACTACGTTCAAATTTGACACCTATGAGGTCAAACAATCAAAACCAAATGCACGCCCTGTGTAACGGATTCTCCAGCCTCTCACACCTGAGCTTGACATCACCCCAAAACTTCCCTCTAGACTTTGAATTTATCTGGGAATGGCATGGTCTCCTCCAGAAGGAGGGGCAGCAGTGGCTGCCTATCTCCAGGGCAGGATCAGAAGGGGATCCAGAGCAGGAATCTCTTTTGGCCATCCGTCCCCCACCCCAATTCCCCATGCTATACCCCAGAGCCCAGGTCACCTGGTAAATCATTTTTCTGATGGCACAGCACCAGAGGAGGACAGAGCATGCTCCTGTCGGCTATGTTAGGCTCCCCATGTGTGGTCTTTACATGACCACCCAACCTTTCTTAAACAGCAAAGAATGGAGCAGGAGAGGTTTTGCACAAGCTCGGGGGCCTGTGTCGAGGAGCATTTGCAGTGGGGTGTGTGGTCAGAGATGGATTAAAGCAGGGATTCAGAAACATTTTCATCACCCACCTAAATAGAAACATAACAGCCTTTCCTCCTGGTCACAGTCGCTGAAGCAGCCTCCCTCCTCTGTCTCACCCCCTATTCGGGCTCCCACGCCTCCCCTCCCTTCCCCTCCCATTGGTTATCAGATAACATCCTAGTGGCAAGTCCAGCTATTGCTTACGTGGTAAGGTAATATTAGGAAAGGAAAATATTTAATGTATTTTTAGCTTGTTTTAAAATAGTTTGGCAGCTGAAAAACCAGGAAGCAAGCCAGTACCCTGTGACCAGCCGGCTCTGTGCAGACCACCACCACTGCACCGCAGACCACTAAGCTTAGGGCAGCCCTTAACTAAAGTTGTGTCCGCAGGTCGGTCTCACGACTTAATAACTCACTACAAAACAGTGCTCTTGAGCTCTGCATTTAGCCGTGTGAAATGATCTCAAGATAATGAATCGGAAATATTCCCTCTGTCACAGTGCTCACCCCTTCAGTTCGTGCTGTAACAAGTTGACCCCTGGTCTTAGCAATAGGTGTAAAGCCAAGGTACCACTCTATTTTAATTCCTGGCTGCCAGGATAGCCCCCAAAGTCTAGCACAAATACGCTTGTCTGGAGGCCTTGGAATTGCTGGCAGAAAGAGCAAGAGATGCTGAGGTGGTTTTAAGGCATGTGTGGTTCTTCCCTCAAAACGTAAGATGACCAGGTTGTACAGTGCCCATACCTCTTCATCTCCTTGCTTTCAAGCATGTGAACTGTGTGACAGGTGAGTAAATCACTGGTGTTTAACAGCTGACTTCAACATAAGCTATTTCACCTCAGATCCTGTGAGCCTTAGCCAGTCTTCACGTAAGTGACTTGCCTGGGACTTTACTCCTCTCTCCCACTTGAAGCTTCAGTGCTCTGTGCTGCATGCTGTTATCTCATACCCTTGCATATTTATGAATTAGAAGTTTTCAGGGTACTATTTTAATAAACAGACACTTTAATTCTAGATTATGCTGTTGTCTCCAAAGCTAGGTGAATATGTCTCATCACTGAATAAACATCTGAGGAATTTCAAGCCTCCATTTTATCCCTTGAATTTTTAGTTGGGAAACTGCACTGGGGCTACAGGAGACTTTTGGGACTAGATGCGTCCACTGAATCTTAGGAGGAGTGCATGCTTACTGCAGAGAGACAAGATGAGAGCAACAGAAGTTGCCACATGCCTAGGACAAAACATCATCGATGAGGACAAAACATCACCGATGAGGAGCGATTTATGGTTGTTCAGCCTGGTGAGGAGGCAGAGAGTACATAATAGCATTGAAATAAGATGCTGTCTGTGGTGGGTAGGAAAAAAGCAATAGGCTTCAGTTATATGAAGTCTAGCGAAGTGCTGGAACAGATCCCTTGTAGGGATTGTGGAACTCAGCCTTGGTTTTCTAGAGAAGAGTGCCCCTTACTGTGGTAGGAAAAATGATGCTTTCTGGGGCAGAAGCTTGGGACTTCAGCTGCATAAATATGGTGCCTTTCCTGTTTTCCAGCTAGATTTTTCTGTGCTATGGATTCTTAGCTTTTTTTTTTTTTTTATTTGGTAATTTTTTCATGAAATAAAAGCGTTATCTGCCTTTTCCAAGACAGTTTTGTCAAACAAATCCAACTGAATTATTTGATTAGGTTAGATATTCGACTGATGGAAAAAAATGTATAGGTGTGGTGGATTTTTGGAGAGCATATAACTTATTGCCACATGTGTCAGCTTGGAAAAGTTAGCATTAGTGTGTATTAAGAAATAATTAGCTGACTGATCTCAAAGCTGATGTGATAACTGTGAATACAGCATCCAGTTAGGACAGTCCTAGTGTTGCTCTGCAGAGACTGGTTCCAGTACTAACTTGTCCAGAACTAAACGAAAGACTGCAGTTGCTAAAAGGTACAAATCTCATTAAGACTGTAAAGTGGTCAGTAATGATGGGGACGAAGGTATGAAAGGCAATAGAAATTGCTTGGTAACTTGCATGCATTCAAACAAAGTGTTGCTTTTAGTTCAGCCAGATACACTATCATGTGTCTAGAAACAAAATGTAGGGCATACATACACACCGAGTGTGCTGGGAAGTGTTGGCACTGACAAGAGTTTGGAGGTCTCGGAGGATAAGCAACTGCACAGGCAAGGGACAGTGTATGTAATGCCATGATAAAAAGGGACATGTGATCTTTGGTGTAGAAAAAAAATAGTGGTAAGAAGTGGGGAAACAAGTTCCTAGCTGAAAACTGACATTACAGTACAATATAGTCTTCTACTGTATGTATTTTTAGAGAGTGGAAAGAGATTGAAGAGGATTCAGGGAAAAAAAAGTAGAATTACTTGTTGGATGCAGAAGATGCCTGAGAATTTTTTGCATAGTTAATCAAAAAGAAGATCAAGTAGTGAATATTTACAGCCTATACTATCTTGCAGAGACAAGAATATGTGGTAGCTTTGTGCCCACCATCCTCAATAGACTCTTGTGACTGCAATTTCCATGTTTTTATGACACAACTGTGTGGCTCTGATTTTTCTACTCTAACTGAATATTCATCCCTTTTTGTGGGATGCTAAGAGATAAGGAGAACAGAAGTTCCCCCTCTTCCACCTTCTTCATACATTTAATTGTTTTACAGGTTTTTATGTCCTCCTTCTGTGCTTTTCACAGTGAATAGCACCAGTCATTTCATTTCTCTTCAAGTGGGAAGTTTTCCAGGTCCTTAATCGTTTCTTTAAAAAACAAGTCTGCACAGAGCATTCCAGATGCATCCACATGATACAATTATCTAAAGGTATTATAATTTTTTCCACATTATCCTTTCTGCCATTCAACATACATCCTAGTGCTTTGCTCATTTGTTTGGCCCAAGTTGTGTGTTGAGCAAGGGCCACAGTGACACACCGAATCGATACTCAGTGCGCTGGATGCAGCTGTTTCATACGGGGATTAAATAACTTTCTAATCTACAGAATGATAGGTTTCAGCTGCCACACAAACTGAGAGCCTGATATCACAACCGGTCACACAAATGCCTCGTGCGGCTGACTCTAGCGGTCCGTGAGCTTTATTTGCATGTGTTGCCATTGAAGTAAAGCACATCAGTAAGTCTTTGCAGGTCTGTGACCTGAGTCGTCACCAATAGTGACCATAGTCCTATCAAGGAGAAGAACATGCTGTTTCTGTCAGTGAAACCTTCTGGCCTGAGAACAAAACCTCTCTTTTGGAGCATGCAATCCAAAAGCCATCGCAGCTTTACAAGGGCAATCACCATGTTTGACACAATCACAGCAGATCTGCAGCCAGTTTGGAAAAAAAAGTCCTCCCTGAACAAAACCTTTGCAAGAAATGCTCAGAAAACAGCAGTCCAGGAGAGGCTGACCTTCTGGAGCATGATGTCACCCGTTCTGCAGTTTACTTATTACTATGGAAAAAGGGGGCTTGGGATTATTGAATACACATGGAAATGAGATGTGGTGAAAGCCAAGAATCTATTAAAGTCTTTAATTGGAATATATTTTCAAAATTTAGATTGAACCTCATCCAGATTCTCATTATTAAAAATATGTGGCTCAGTTTCTTCATTTTCACAGGGAACATAAAAAAAAAAAAAAAGAAGAAAGGGGCCGGGG